CTAATAATGTACCTAGTAAAACAATTTACCTAGTATAATGAACCTAGTTTTTCGCTAAATTTTGTATCTATTTTTTTCTCTAAATAATTTACCTATTTTTTAAAAATAATGTATACCTAGTAAAACAATTTACCTAGTATAATGAAGTTATTTTTTTCTTCTAAATAATGTACCTATTTTTAATTTATAAAAAAATGTCCATAAATTTCAATTATACAACGCACCTATTTTCTATAAATTATTGTGTACCTATTTTTAATTTATGAAAAATGTACTAAAATTTCAATTACAAAGTAACGGACCTATTTTTTTTTAAAAAAAAAATCGTAAATAATATACCTATATTTTTATAACGTATATATTTATATTTATATTTTTCATATGTACGTTATTGGATATGTAATTTTTTTTTGGTTTGCAATTTTAGGGGGCGATATGTTAGAGAGAATGGCAACCAAAAGAAATGGGTGATTGATATGCTATTAATATGGAGTTTTAATTACAATTATGACAGTTAATGAAATACTTGAACTAAATTATAAATAAAATATGAAGTCTGATGGCAAGGATGTAAAAACATAGGAATACTATGACCTCTTATATCTTACTGGTCATTTAAGTTTGAAATTGGGTTTTACACATAGATTTATAGAATGATGGGTGTATATCTAGAGCACTACTTATTTGTTGGTAGTGAAACAAGGTTCTTATCTTATCCCATTTGAAAAGGGTTCTTCCTTAAAGCACTAGTTATGGTAGTGAAACAAGGTTCTTATCCCATTTGAACAAGGAAATACGTGCCCTTTTTGACAACACTGACTCGGAAGAACCTGGGAATATTAATTTATATTATATGTTGACAGAATCCCAACTGTAGCACTGAGGAAAACAATTAATTTATAGGATTATATGCTGTCATTATTATTAGGGCTGTAAATGTTTTACAATAAGACTACTTTTCAGTTTCGTAAGTAATATTTGCTTTCAATTCGTTACCAAATGTATTTTGATGATTTGTTACCGATACACCGTTTGGCTCCTGAGGGACAGAATGGAAACCGGACTCCAGCAAACTCTGTAAGATCAAGCGTGCATTGTCCAGGATCCTGCCCTCCATATAAAGATGCGCCATATCAGCGCCAATAGCATTGGCAATACCGGCAAAGAATCACCCTTAAAAACACACCCCTGCAACCGCATCCCCTCCGAAGCAGCTATAGCCTCTGCGTCGCAGCCTCCACCATGGTGCGCCGTCAACAGAAAAAACCCATCCAATTAACTTTTAGAAAACCACTGTGCCACTGATGAGAGACATATTATTTGGATCCACGTTAACCTTTTTTTGTTGTTGAGAAAAAGCGATAGTAATTAGTGATGAAACATGAGAAAATACAAAGCAGTCATAATGCCAAATATGCAATTATCCACATTAACTTTGAAACACACGCAATTAGTAGAATTGTATTAATTTATTGCATATATATAGGAAGTACAAGATACAATTTGATCGAGGCTAAAGCCGTCCTCATTATTGAAACTGAAAGAAATTGTCTACTTCAACTAAGAACAATGCTTGGATCTTTGACAAGTCTCAGGACCAACTTCATGGTGGCCTATTAATAACATCATTACATGTGGAATTTATTTTATTCTGACTAAATTTATTGAGCACACAACAAATACACACTAATGCTCCTCTAGCATTTATCAACCCTAACACAGAATCATGACGAAAAAGACTTAAGTAAGTAAAGAGGCTGCCGCGGAAAGAAGAAGACCATATGCGGATGGAAAACCCACACTAGCTATTGCCTGGATAACCTGCCGGCTCAAGCGCTTGCCTGTTTTGCAATAACTTGCGAAGGTTTCGCAGTTGTTACTCAACAAATCGTATTCACCAAACCCCGTCCCATCAACCTCATCTTTCTTGAAAATCTCAGTGGCAAGACGTACAGTTTCGTCACTTGGATAGCAACTCCAGGTACTGCAAGTGCCATCCTGTTTGAGAATGACGTAGCTGAGAGAGACATTGTATTCGAAGCGATGAAGGCCGTCGCCTTTCAAGAAGCAATCAATGCAGGTTTTCAGCACTCCCCCTTTTTTGTTTGGGTCGTGTCCGCAGCGTCTGCAGCTAGTAGTTACTGGTTCATATGTTGCACTGAAACGAATCACTGATTTACATGTTGGAGTGAAATGAATCACCCAACCTTCCCCAACATATATACCTGAGTGCATGCATGCAATATTATTATCATAAAATGTATAGTAAATTTGGCTTTTCCATAAAAATTTTCTTATGTGTAACCCATCACCTTATTTTCTCTAGCTATAAATAAAACTCGATAACTAGAATCCAACTCAGCAATTACTTAATTAAACTTAAAATCTTATTTATTTTCTTGAGATAACAATATCATCTATCTGATCACTAACGTATCAAATTAACTTTCAGAAAACAAATACATATATACTCACCATGATGGGAGAACCCTATTCTGTAAGAATAGATGTGATCTCCTGGCTGGAGCTCCTCCCTAGGAATCCTGTTTGACAAGAGGCTCATCTCTCTCGCTCTCTCTCTCTCTCTCTCAATACGTTAATTCAGCAGCATTCGATCGAATTCTTCTCTTTGAATGTATGCATGGGATTCATCATACCCTCCCTCGAGTTCACATATATATACTTAGTATTGAATATCGTGCGGCCACTCATTGTGAAGTTGGTTTGCGTGTTTTATTTTTTTTTATTTTTTTTTTTAAACTGCATGTCAACTTCTTTGAAGTTTCTTAGAGCTTGACACAATCATTTTCTTATTAATTAAATTCATTTTTGTTTGCTTTTGTGTTTTGTTGGGATATTTGTTTTGTCCATGTTGTTACTGATTTGGCCAATTACATTGATCCTTATGTCTTAATAATCCTTCGACTATGTTGGTTGTTATTCAATTAAATCACCACCATGCTCTCGAGTTTCTAATTAATTAAGTTGATGGATCAATTGGCCAAGTTCATTGCATTTTAAATTGCTTAATTAGTGAGAAAGACTCAACGAGCCAGTACTATTGGACAAGAGTCTCACTTGGTTGAAAATATTCAACTAAATAATAATAAATAAAAATTCTAATAATGTTGCTTTCTTTCAATATTTTGATTTATGAAATGACCAATCATGAATCATGACAAGTTGAGAATCGACAGGAGAAAGATGGTAGGAGTTGATATTGGTGAGGAACCAACTTGAACCACTTCATCGGAATTTAAAACTCAAGCCCATATACAATAGCAATTAAACAAAAATTTTGAAAGAACCTCACGGCAGGAATTAACTTGAAGTCGGGGGTAACCAAGATCTAAAAGTATCCATGGTTTTGAAAATATCAGTGGTCCCAAAACATGAAATTTCTATGAAAATATTAATTAAAAATGAATAAAAACCATGGAAATTTTTATTGAAACTTTGGATGATGTTTATTTAGTCAATTATCTATTACTTTATCACACAAAAATTTGTGATGGGTTTAACTAATTTAAGTTGATTATACAATGAGCTGACAAACACTGCGAGTGTAGAAATATGTAATAATTAATGAAAAAAGATTAAACACGCCATAATGATTTACTACAATATTTTACACTTTATATATTGCATGGTAAGAGACATAAGTAACTTGGTACCACTTAGAGTTCCTATAAGGTGATAATATCAATAATAGTATAGCCGCGCTGCTATACTAAGTTTTTTTAATATTTATTCAAATTAATAGTCTAGTCGTGCAGTTATACTGCGTGTTTATTAATATTGTTTGAAATTCATAGTACTGCCGTGTGGCTATACTCCGTGATTTAATATTTATTCAAATTAGGCTATACTCCGTGTTTTTAATATTTTTGAAATTAATAGTCCAGCCCTTCGGCTATACTATGTGTTTTAAGATTTATTCCAATTATAAGTATAGCCGGTCGCCTATACTGCGTTTTAAAATATTTATTGAAATTAATAGTACCGCCGTTCGGCTATACGATGTGTTTTAATATTTATTCAAATTAATCGTATAGCCGAGCGGCTATACTGCCTTTTTTTAATATATATTGAAATTAAGCGGCTATAATGCCTTTTTTTTATATATTTATTCAAATTGATAGTACAGCCGTGCGGCTATACTCCCTTTTTTAAAAATTCTTATTCAAATTAGTGGTATGGCCGTGCGGCTATACTCCGTGTTTTAAACTTTTAAAAAAAAATTAATAGTGTAGCCACACGGCTATACCCCGTGTTTTTAAATTGTTTTTCAAATCGGCTATACTCCGTTTTTAAT